CTACCGAATATCCTGAGCGGTTACAACGACCGTGGGCATACTTACAATACTTGCAATTAGTCGGTTTTGTTGTTACGGATCTGGTTGTAGAACTCCCTTTCGTTAGTGTTGAACAATCGATTTTCCTTCTTCCGCTTCGAACTTTCTCCATAACGTCGCATCCGTTTAGCAAGAGTACTCAACCGCTGTACATTAGGGTGTTTCATTTTGAAAAAAGTGATGAATTTTTTATAGGCCACCCTCCAGTTCGATTCATAGCCCCAAAATATGAACCTGTGCAAAAAATGGTAAAGATTGATGAAGGTTTAGAGGTCGCGCCAATGATTTGGATTTTGTATGGAGATTTTGGTGAATTAGTATGGGAAATTATTGATTTTCGTTTACATTGCTCTAACTTTGGTTGTAGTTGTCCAAACGTTGAAAAAAAAAATATGTGGTTGTCATGACAATGATCAACAAGCCTGTTGTTGTTGCGATGAAATTGGCGTTGTTGCCTTGTACATATTCATCTGTCAATTTACCCTATTTTGCCATTTTTTCACATTTTTATAATTCTTGATACGCTGCAAAACTGAGCGTAGCAACTGTAGGCTTTTTGTTTATTGCCATAGCAATAACATACTAAATTTTTTCGACATTTGGACAAGTAGAAGCAAAGTTATAGCGATATAAGCGATTTTTTAAATTCTTCCATAGTAATTCCCATACAAATTTCAAATCATTGGCGCGACCTCTAAACCTTCATCAATCTTTACCAATTTTTGCACAGGTTCATATTTTGGGGCTATGAATCGAACTGGAGGGTGGCCCATCAGAAATTCATCACTTTTTTCAGAATGAAGCACCCTACTGTACATGTGTGTCGAGCACCTCAGTAATATCGGCGTCAGTGAGGTCATGGAGCTCTGCGGGCTTGACAATTTCAGCAACGTGACGAACTAGTCTCGATGATCGGTTTCCCCTCTTGTACTGTGTCAACCGATCAATCTTAGTCCGAAGTGTGACGATTCGGCCCTCCAGGCGTCGCATCCATGCGGGTTTTTGAGCGTTGGGACGTGTACGACTTTCGCCGTCTCCTTGCGGTTACGTTCACAATCCCAACGTTTGTACCACGGCCATAGCTGCACAGTACACTATGAACTGCAGATCCTTAAGGTCCTCAACGGCTTCCAAGTGCTGTGGCAAAATATCCTCGTTGATAATGCTTCCTGCACTCGTTAGTCGGTAGGAATACTGCAATAATTATTATCATTATTAGCTTTATTGAAATTTGAAGAATCGAAGCTTGATTCCCTTGCGGTTGCGGAAGGGTTCGGCAGGTGAAGGCTTGAAATATATTTACTTAAAAAATGGATTGGAAGAAACCATGTCATCGTCATTATAACGAAAGTTTTTCATATTAAAGTCCATTTTACAACATAAGGTGGTCGATAAACTTATTCAAAATTGTTAGATAAATTTTCCATGGCTTTTCCAGGAAAAACTTCTCGAATATGACAAAACTCGATAAAGGTTTCACTCAGTCTATTAGTATACTCGTAGACTGAGTAAAATTTTCAGCAGTTTTCCACATATTCGAGAAGTTTTTCCTGTTTTTTGCAGTTGACTCTACTCAATTTGGAGTAGCTTTGATCGATCGTGTACACAACGAGGACTATTTCAGAGATCAATCCAAAGCTCCAATGCCAGCAATAATCCACATACGAAACAATTTCCCCATTCAAACAGAAAACCACAATAAAGGCAAAACAAACTTGACAACAAGAATCTGCTTATTCTATCTTCTTCCGGGAGGATGCTTGAAATCTCAATCCTATTTATGCTCGAAGCCAAGATCTCTCAATACTCAGGTATTGCGCATTGTACAGTTTGTGGACAAAAAGAGCGTGGGGGAGAAGGAAGGTAGAATAACTCGACTAGTGTTTTGGTGTTATATTGTAATACATTGCAAACGAGACCCAGAGCAAGATAATTCTAATTGACCGCTTGATTTGAGCAGTTAAAATGACGGTTTCAACCGCTCGAACTTTGAAATAAAACAATATATTTAGATTTTTTTCTTAATAAACCACGTGAAATGTTGCCAAAATTTGTGCGTTTCATTTGTTGGTCAAGTTTTGTGAAATCGGTGGCAGAAAGTCACACCAAAACTGCTTGACAAAGATGGCACCATTTTAAGGGGAAAAAACTGTCAAAATGGCCGCTTCAGGGGCTTGTCCCATTTGAATAACCTTAAGCTTGAGGGACGTTGCTCGAAGCTATGTTTACAAATCACATAAATCGTAGAGGTACACTCTTGTGTCCGCTCGCTCCATTCCATGTATGTGTGCGAAAATATGTTTTCGTTCGCTTTTATATTGCTGAAAAGGCTTCCTGTTTTCCATCATTCTCTCCCAAACGGGTCCCCCCCCCCTCTTGGTCGGAACAAAAGCGGAATCCTTATGCTTTTGCCATCGCATATTAGAGCGGGCGGATGGGGGACGAGAGGCACAATGGAATATTTATTTTCCACTGAATACATCGAAATTTGATTAGCTCTTTTTCCGGGATAACCCTCCTCCGTCCGTCCGATTCCTTCAATCACATTGTGTTAGTGTTCCACTTGCGAGCTTGTTCGCTTGCACTGGGTAAGAATGCAAATATTTCCGGTTTGCTACTGCTACTACTGTTTGCTCTGCCAGCCACCACTCACACGCTTGGATTTCGACTTGGAAACTTCTTGGCGGTGGCAGCTTTAATCTTGAAGTTCTCTCTCCCCGGTTTGCTTTCCAGGACTGGAATACCGGAATAATTGAACGAGATTGATTTATGTGTTTGTTCACTCGATTTTTCCTCCTTCGCCGTTCGATGTACCACCCCAATTCGTCTTCCCCACTGTGTCACCGCTCAGGCCACGATGTCGTCGTCCTGTTTGAACAAATTTGGGTACAAGAAAGTTAAGAACGGTGCCGCAGCCCGGTTTCGCTTCAGGTTTTGCTGTTGAGCTGATGAAAAGAAAGAATTTGTATTTGCTTTCTGTCGGGCTTGTTGTTCATTGCTGGTGGTTAAGAGGGGAAAATAAACTCCCCTACTTTCTCCTTACGCAAAAAAAAAAAAAAAATTAAGGCTACAGGTTTCCCAATAATGCTGATGGGAGGCTGGGAGGTTGGTTGGGATGACTGGTAGGCAGTTAGCAGCGAAAGTGATTCGGTTATCGAATTTGACAAATAACCACCGATGGCGAAGGATGGATGGATGGAAGGATGGTTAGCAGACAGTGGTAAAGGCAATTCAAAGTCAATAGCAATCAACGGAGGAGGGCTTTTTGAGATGATGGGTTGCGTCTAGGCATTTTGAGGCACAGGAATCCCCCGATTAGTGCTTTCGGGTGTTTTCCAACCTCTTGAGCTGGTAGCATCCAGCGCGCTATTCGGGAGATTCCTGTATTGTAGGTATTGATGTTGTGAGCGTTTCCTTTTCCATCTTTGTTAACCTAAACGGTGGGATAATTATGTCAGTTGGAAGATAAGATACGAGTGAATGTTTGAATACCATCAACGGTTGGCGTATATGCAAAAAAACATGGTTTTGGCTCAGCCTTGGTACTATCTTCGGTCCCAAGCTAATCGATGCACCCCTCGAAACATAGGATAATCCACGAACCCCTCATTTTATCTGTCAAACTTTCATGTGGTACGTTAATCGATTTGCTTGGGACCAATAGGCTAGTCAAGTAGTGAGCCAATTTAAAATCGTTAGTTTCGTATTGATTGTTGATTCAAGTTAGTATTATGGAGATATTAATTATTATGTGCATTCTGCTCGTACACTGCAACAAAATACAGGCAGCTTATACAACGTATCACCTAGATTATCACTAAAAATCGTGTCTTTTGGTGCCATAACCACTCTTTGAATGTTTCAACTCTTTTTGACGTTACACGGGCTGGCGCTTTTGGATTAATGTTCATATAGAAGATTTGGTTGAAATTTTCATATTCAAAATGCTCATATACATTCAAAAGCGAATCATAATGCAATCGTCAGCAAAGTTGTTACTTATTAACCGAACTACAAGTTTTGAAAATCTGAATCAAATCGAAAATAAAGAAATTTGTTTATGATCGCTAGAGTGTACTGAACCTTTAACCGGCCCTTCTACCAGCCCTTCTACCGGCCATTCTACTGGCCCTTTTACCGCTTCTTCTACCGGCCCTTCTACCGGCGAGCTGTGTTGCAGAGGCTGTTTGTCATGAAAAAGAAGGAAGAATATTATATCATTATTGCTTTCCATTTCTGACAAAGCGTTATTGTTCGGCTCGTTGATCGCTTGTCTTTTTGCTACTACAAGTTCGGGATAGTGGACTATATCGAAAAAGAGCAAATAAAGGTCGAAAATGAGGCCAAGCGACGGGCGCTGCTGAAGGAAAAACAATTGGAAGAAGCAAGGGAGTTGAGGGTATGGATGAAAGCGGAAGCCAAACTCAAATTGCTTACAAGGAAGAGTATGAAGAACTCGTAAAAAATGTCCCTCATTAAAATCTTCTCGGCTCCGAGGAGTTCTTTTGATCATTTGAGCCTAACAAACAAACTATTGTAAAAAAAAAATCAATGAAATATTTAAAATTATTCAGGCAAATTATTTCTTAATTCTAAAACCTTACATTTATTTTCTTTGAGATTTTAAAATTTAGTCTCACTTGTGTCATCAAAATTAGCACGTATATAGCTGTTACGGGCACCATTAACCGTATTCAATAGTAAATATTTAACATCAGACGACAACGCAAAAAAAAAAATAGAACTTTAATAGCATAACGTTTTATGCTGATGAGATTTATGAGACCAAAATCATTATAGACAGTTCATGAAAACATTCATGATAGGCTCCTAAATTCAATCTAATTCTTGAGCCAAAATTACTCGAGGACCAAATTAGGTTCTAGTTTCAAGTTATTTTTTTTCATAATAGTCGGAGTCGACTCCAGTACTTTGTCTTCGCACTCTTTATGCTCAAAAATATGTCGGACTTCGACTCCACGGCTCCACGACTTCGACTCCACGACTTCGACTCCACGACTTCGACTCCACGACTTCGACTCCACGACTTCGACTCCACGACTTCGACTCCACGACTTCGACTCCACGACTTCGACTCCACGACTTCGACTCCACGACTTCGACTCCACGACTTCGACTCCACGACTTCGACTCCACGACTTCGACTCCACGACTTCGGCTCCACGACTTCGACTCCACGACTTCGACTCCACGACTTCGACTACACGACTTCGACTACACGACTTCGACTACACGACTTCGACTACACGACTTCGACTACACGACTTCGACTACACGGCTTTGACTACACGACTTCGACTACACGACTTCGACTACACGACTTCGACTACACGACTTCGACTACACGACTTCGACTACACGACTTCGACTACACGACTTCAACTACACGACTTCGACTACACGACTTCGACTACACGACTTCGACTCCACGACTTCGACTCCACGACTTCGACTCCACGAATTCGACTCCACGACTTCGACTCCACGACTTCGACTACACGACTTCGACTCCACGACTTCGACTCCACGACTTCGACTCCACGACTTCGACTCCACGACTTCGACTACACGACTTCGACTACACGACTTCGACTACACGACTTCGACTACATGACTTCGACTACACGACTTCGACTACACGACTTCGACTACACGACTTCGATTACACGACTTCGACTACACGATTTCGACTACACGACTTCGACTACACGACTTCGACTCCACGACTTCGACTCCACGACTTCGACTCCACGACTTCGACTCCACGACTTCGACTCCACGACTTCGACTCCACGACTTCGACTCCACGACTTCGACTACACGACTTCGACTACACGACTTCGACTACACGACTTCGACTACACGACTTCGACTACACGACTTCGATTACACGACTTCGACTGTACAACTTCGACTACACGACTTCGACTACACGACTTCGACTACACGACTTCGACTACACGACTTCGACTACACGACTTCGACTACACGATTTCGACTACACGACTTCGACTACACGACTTCGACTACACGACTTCGACTACACGACTTCGACTACACGACTTCGACTACACGACTTCGACTACACGACTTCGACTACACGACTTCGACTACACGACTTCGACTACACGACTTCGACTACACGACTTCGACTACACGACTTCGACTCCACGACTTCGACTCCACGACTTCGACTCCACGACTTCGACTCCACGACTTCGACTCCACGACTTCGACTCCACGACTTCGACTCCACGAATTCGACTCCACGACTTCGACTCCACGACTTCGACTACACGACTTCGACTCCACGACTTCGACTCCACGACTTCGACTCCACGACTTCGACTCCACGACTTCGACTCCACGACTTCGCCTACACGACTTTGACTACACGACTTCGACTACAAGACTTCGACTAAACGACTTCGACTGCACGACTTCGATTACACGACTTCGACTACACGACTTCGACTACACGACTTCGACTACACGACTTCGACTACACGACTTCGACTACACGACTTCGACTACACGACTTCGACTAAACGACTTCGACTACACGACTTCGACTACACGACTTCGACTACACGACTTCGACTACACGACTTCGACTACACGACTTCGACTACACGACTTCGACTACACGACTTCGACTACACGACTTCGACTACACGACTTCGACTCCACGACTTCGACTCCACGACTTCGACTCCACGACTTCGACTCCACGACTTCGACTACACGACTTCGACTACACGACTTCGACTACACGACTTCGGCTCCACGACTTCGACTCCACGACTTCGACTCCACGACTTCGACTCCACGACTTCGACTCCACGACTTCGACTCCACGACTTCGACTCCACGACTTCGACTCCACGACTTCGACTACACGACTTCGACTACACGACTTCGACTACACGACTTCGACTACACGACTTCGACTACATGACTTCGACTACACGACTTCGACTACACGACTTCGACTACACGACTTCGATTACACGACTTCGACTACACGATTTCGACTACACGACTTCGACTACACGACTTCGACTCCACGACTTCGACTCCACGACTTCGACTCCACGACTTCGACTCCACGACTTCGACTCCACGACTTCGACTCCACGACTTCGACTACACGACTTCGACTACACGACTTCGACTACACGACTTCGACTACACGACTTCGACTACACGACTTCGATTACACGACTTCGACTGTACAACTTCGACTACACGACTTCGACTACACGACTTCGACTACACGACTTCGACTACACGACTTCGACTACACGATTTCGACTACACGACTTCGACTACACGACTTCGACTACACGACTTCGGCTCCACGACTTCGACTCCACGACTTCGACTCCACGACTTCGACTCCACGACTTCGACTCCACGACTTCGACTCCACGACTTCGACTCCACGACTTCGACTCCACGACTTCGACTCCACGACTTCGACTCCAAAACTTCGACTCCACGACTTCGACTACACGACTTCGAATACACGACTTCGACTACACGACTTCGACTACACGACTTCGACTACACGACTTCGACTACACGACTTCGACTACACGACTTCGGCTCCACGACTTCGACTACACGACTTCGGCTCCACGACTTCGACTCCACGACTTCGACTCCACGACTTCGACTCCACGACTTCGACTCCACGACTTCGACTCCACGACTTCGACTCCACGACTTCGACTACACGACTTCGACTACACGACTTCGACTACACGACTTCGACTACACGACTTCGACTACACGACTTCGACTACATGACTTCGACTACACGACTTCGACTACACGACTTCGACTACACGACTTCGATTACACGACTTCGACTACACGACTTCGACTACACGACTTCGACTACACGACTTCGACTACACGACTTCGACTACATGACTTCGACTACACGACTTCGACTACACGACTTCGACTACACGACTTCGACTACACGACTTCGACTACACGACTTCGACTACATGACTTCGACTACACGACTTCGACTACACGACTTCGACTACACGACTTCGATTACACGACTTCGACTACACGATTTCGACTACACGACTTCGACTACACGACTTCGACTCCACGACTTCGACTCCACGACTTCGACTCCACGACTTCGACTCCACGACTTCGACTCCACGACTTCGACTACACGACTTCGACTACACGACTTCGACTACACGACTTCGACTCCACGACTTCGACTACACGACTTCGACTACACGACTTCGACTACACGACTTCGACTACACGACTTCGACTACACGACTTCGACTCCACGACTTCGACTCCACGACTTCGACTCCACGACTTCGACTCCACGACTTCGACATCACGACTTCGACTACACGACTTCGACTACACGACTTCGGCTCCACGACTTCGACTCCACGACTTCGACTCCACGACTTCGACTCCACGACTTCGACTCCACGACTTCGACTCCACGACTTCGACTCCACGACTTCGACTCCACGACTTCGACTCCAAAACTTCGACTCCACGACTTCGACTACACGACTTCGACTACACGACTTCGAATACACGACTTCGACTACACGACTTTGCAAAACGAAAAAACAAAATTAAATTCATTGTTTCAACAAACAATCTAGAAGTGATCCAGGAAGAGGATAGTAAACAATATTGTAAACATTTCACTGTTTTGGTTCTTTACAGTCTAAGGAATTGCTCACCAAAATTTAGATCACTTCGTAGCTAGAGGTGTTGCGTTTAGTTTTTTGTTTATATTTACACATTTGACAGCTTGTGGATCTAGTTCCTCATTTTGTGCTTAAGAGTCGGATAAATTCAGACGTTGAGCTATTCAATCAAAATTTAAACCAGTAGGCGATGGACGATCTTTTGACGACTTGGAACAGCAGATTATGATTAAATATTGAACTCAGGGTCACATGGACCAACATTTCTTATTTTGTGAAAGTACAACTCTGAATATCAAATTTTCGATTATGCTGATGGTAAGAAAGTGGAGGGCAATCTCACGTATCCAACAAGCCTGTTTAATAATAATCCCACTAATAATGTGTCAAACCTCTGAATTAATAGTATGTTAGCCCTATATAGCAAAACCAATGTAAATTAGCGGGCTTATTGGTTACCTGGGATGTGTAATTCGTGCTTGTGAACGATTTCCCACCGAAGGTATGCCGCTGCGATCAAGCGTTTGGTTAAACGTGTTCTCCATAACAAATGTTCAACGGAAATGGGTTGCGCATCGAACATTATAACAAGGGATTAAAGACAAGTGTTTCATATGCGGAAAGTCCAGAAACTGTCAGAATATAACTAAGGGGCTGTTCTCCAGCTACGTAGACCAGCGCTGCCTAACGTGGTCTCTGCATCTCAGGAATGGAATTATTCTAGTCCAATTTATTTCATCATTATGAAGTTCAGCCCAGCAGGAATGAGAAAGACACTAAATGCAGCTTGAAACATGTTCATCGAAAATTGATACAGTCATTTAAAAAAACAAGTTTGAATGGTTAGGGGACGGGGGACGGGGGTTGTCAATTATCGACGGCCCATACAAATTTTAAAAATTGTGTATGAAAAATTGTCTACGCAGGGCAAGGGGGGGGGTCACCAATAAAAAAAAAACAGTCTACGTAGTTCATGAACAGCCCCTAATAAGGGTGAGGAAAATGACATGTCAAGAAGAGGAAATTGAGTAAATTGAGGAAAGAAGGGGATTATGAACTTTCTGGAGGTCAAGCTTGTGATGAAAATTAAACCGATCGTTTTATGATAACTTTATTTTTAACTTCTTGTAGATAGATTAAAAGATAGCAAGCTGATTGATATAAACATTATTGCATTTGCATTCACACATCATTATCAATCAAAGTAACACCCCGGTTACTTATTTAACTGAAAAAGTGAACGATTTTCTATACCTGAAAAACGACTGGATAATCAGATAAAATCAGGGAATTTAGTTTTCTTCGTTGAGTCGACACCCTGTACATACAACACTGCTGGGCTTGGTAGGGTAGCATCAGGGTACTCGATTGAAGCGATTCGGACGGGGAGAGTGGGAATGCCAACTCCCTGTTGATAAAATTTCGTGGATAAAGGGTGGGCTCATCTCCCCACTCATTGGGGTATCTTCCTGTTTGGGACTAATCTTTTTGACTAATTGAGTGCTCATGTTGCTGGAAGGAGATTCTTTACTGTCCCGTAGATGCGTATAGGTGACTTTGCCTATCGATCCACCTAATCCGTTTTTGGCCCTTCATACAGCGATATGTTGAGGACAATCAGAGGTTATCTAGCTTGAGCAAGACAATCAGAAAAGAGAATCCACTGCTATCGGACTTAGTTTCCATGCTACAATGGGTGGTATTGGTCAATGGTCATATTTATATATTTGACAGCTCCCGTAGTAAGAAGGATATTCTGGAATGCATTTAATATCGTTAATCTACATCTACTCTAATCCAATATTGCGGCTTCCAGTTACAGAAACACTTGGGAAATACTGTCAAATACCTCTCAATATGAGTGTTTTTGGAATTGGGGTGACGTGACTAACGGAATTATCTACCTACCCTCTTCTAAGACCATTTTCTAGCTAATAAATTATCACACTAAAGCTTCATGATAGATAGCATTTCCAAACAACTTCAATCAAAAATGTTTACCCAACATGGGTAAAAAATCTAGACCCTTGAGACATATTACATAACATTATAAAATTCGCTCCCTCGCTCGATATTCCCCCTCAACCAAAAAACAGACTACTTTGTCCACTATTCCCATACCAATTCAAGATCAACAATTGAAAAGGTCTCAACTCCATTTTGTAAACAAACCTTGTAATGCCATTTTCTCGCGAACCGAAGTCCGCCAACGCAAACCAACAAAACGAACAGGTAGGGGAAATCCTCCTCTACCCGATTGTGTTTAAGGTTTTTGAATGTAGGTTTCGGTTCGCGAGGAAATGGCCTTCCAAGGTTTGTTTACAAAATGGAGTTGAGCCCTTTTCCATTGTTGGTCTTGAATTTCCAAAATTTCCCCCCGTAACTTGATAACCCTCCCTTATTCTTTATCAAGTGCGGGAGTTGACTGTGTAATGGGCCATTTTTCACTTGACGGATTTCACGCCAACTCATCCAGTGGTTGGCAGCACCCTCTCAGAACCTTATGGAACTTTGTGGGTGTGGAGACTTAGCAATTTTAAGCAACTTTGCGTACTTATTTTTTTCAAAATTTATCTCGCCTAACATTTGATAAGGGTCAAAGTTTTTTGTCGATTTTTTTTTCAAATCGATATAGCTTAAAAATGACAAGCCCTACAAAAAAGTGATGTATGGCGAACTTTTAGCAAATAATCTGAAATTTTATAAAAAAA